ATTTTCTGAAAATCCATGATACCTTTATTTTATTATTAAAAATTGATTGTCATTATGCTGTTAACCATTATGTAATATTGCATCAGAATAGAAGAACACACAATTTTGGGTGCTGCTGCCATGAAAACCATTATGGGAAAACCATGTTACTTATGATTGCCAAACTTTTAAAAAAGAAATACAGGACTAAAATGCAGCCTGAGTTGGAAAAGCAGTCTAATTGACTTCTTTTTCTGGAAGTTATACATTTTCAGAGTGTGAACTTGAACTCCTATGGGGCTGAAGCCTTATGCTTGTTACACATTTTACTTACATTGGAATTACCTGTTGAGTATAATTAAAATTTGATGTTGAATTTGCAGTTTAACATAATGTACTTTTGCATCAGAATTGACTGTACCCTATTTTGTTTTTTTCCTTCTTTTTGTCTGTACATTTGACAGCTTTGCTGCCTTGTTTAATTATTATTATCATTATTTATTATATTTTGCACTAAGCACCTTTAATGAATTTTTTATATGCAGACACAGAATGCCTGTCTTCACCTCCGGCTTTGCTGTGCACTTTCAGTGATAACACAATAACTGGAAAACCGTTTTACCTTCGTGTTCAAATATGGGAATAATTAATATTCATAAAATAATGGTTGAGTCAACATGATAGGGCCATTTTTTCAAAACTTTTTTCAGCATATATGCAATAATGATAGCACATTTCAAGGAAAATTGATAGGCCTTTTGTCTTGAAACCCAAAGGAGTGATCAACTTTTCTGAAAATTAGCTCAAAACAAACCATTTTTCCAAAAGTTATGTTATTTTTTCGCTTTGTGATGATCTATTTATGGGCATATGATAACCTTCTGTTATGTTATTTTTCTTTCAGCCAAAGGTCAGCATGACAGAACTACTCCATGAAAATTACGGCTTTAAAAACATACTGTTCATTGTTGGTGTACAGATGTCAATTCCAATTATATCTAGACGTATTAAAGTTTATCAATTCCAGAGTAGACCAAAGAGGTTTGTACTTTAAATGTTTTTGTCTGTCTTTTTATGTGCAGACACAGATGTGTTTGTACATACAGCCGTCACCTGCGTCTGTCGTCGCTCTCGCCATGCACTTTCACCAATAACACAATATGTGGGAAAATGTTTAACCTTTTGGTTTCAAATTTACAGAACTGATTAATATTCATAAATATTCATAAAATTCAGGTCGAATTGGAAAATCAGCATGATTGGGCCATTTTTTCAAAAGTTGTGCTGTTTTTGCTTTTTTTCAGTATTCATGCATCACTTATAAAACGATAAGTTGAAAACTACTTTACCTTTTTTTTTTTTAACTCACAAGAGTGATCAATCTTACTAAAAAAAAAAAAACAGGTGTCAAGTTCGAAAATCAGCTTGATCGGACCATTTTGACAATAGTTATGCTGTTTTTCCACTACTTTTCAGCATATTTAATCCACCATTATACAGATAACATGAAAACCATATAATATTCTTATGAACTTATACATATGTCTGATTCATAGGACAAATTTATAGGTCAAGTTCAAAAATAAGCTTGATTGGTTCAGTTTTGATAAAGTTATGCCTTTTTTCGTACACAAGTGGTTTTTCCTCAGATTCTATTCTTACTCATGTTAACAGTGTCACTATTGAACTAATTAGTCATGCAAAAATGTTCTTTTGACATTTTCTGCATCTTAACAATATTGTTAGTTGATTATATAAAATGATGGTAAACCTGTTATTGTGTATTGTAATAAAGTATTAAAAATGGCAATAAACTCACATCATTGCAGTTTGTCAAATTCAATCATTCACTATGTTCAGAATCTCAGAGTGGAGCAAATTGGACCTTTAAGATCGCATTCACAACAAGTTGAGTTGATTTACAATTCCTGGGGACTAAATATGGCGGACGTACATGAAAGAAAAA